TCCAGTTCCATCAGGTCGCCATTAGTAAGTTCCTGGTGTTGCACAGCAAGAAGCTCAGTGAAGTCCTCTTGCAGCCCTGGCTTCTCACCGCGGGTCACTGAGTTGCTGAAAACCTCTTTGAACTCCTCATCCACCTTCTCAAATCCTCAAAAATCGTGAACAGACTGCAATTAAAGGTTCTTCCACACCCCACTGATGGTGGCAGCCAGAACCCCACACCCAGCAAAGTCAATGTTTTTTATGGCCTTGTAGGTGCTATGGTCCTTCCTGAGTTGTTGCAAGGTTGCTGCTGATTTGTCACTTGCCTTTACTGCCTGATAAATAGTGTGATGTAACTAATATTTCTTGAAAGTCGCTCTAACATCCTGGTCCATAGGTTGGGTGAATAATGTAGTATTTGGCAGCAGATGCATAACTTTGACATTAGGATTAAAGTCGTCCATGAATGGGGGTGGCCCAGAGCATTGTTGCGTAGCAAAAGAATGTTGAATGCCATGTCCTACTCCAAGCAATCATTCTCTACCTTCAGGATAAAGTAGTGGAAAAACCAGTCCTGGAAAATGGCCTGCGTAACCCAGGCTTTGGGGTCACTCCTCCATACAACAGGAAGTGCACCTTTGACTGTGTTTTTAAGGACTCTTGGGTTCTCTGAGTGATAGACTAAGAGAGGCTTCAGCTTCATATCGCCAGAAGCATGGCCACCAAATATCAGAGTTAGCCTGTCCTTTGCTGCTTTCTAACCTGGCACCAACCTTTCCTCCTTGTTGATGTAAATGTGGTTAGGCATCTTCTTCCAGTACAGTCCTGTCTCATCCACATTAAAAACCTGCCCGGGTGAACACATGCTTTCATCGATAATTTCTTAAAGCATTCTAGGAAATTCTCAGGCGGCTACTGTCTCTGCACTAGCTGCCTCACCACCTACTTTTACGCTGTGAAGGTTGGCTCTAGCGTCGAACTGATGACACCAGCCATGGCTGGCATTGAAAGATGTGCCCCCGATTCTTTACCATGTTTCTTCTTCAAGTTTTTCTAAAGACTTTCAGCTTTCTCTTGAATCAGCATTAAGCTGAGCGGGTCTTGATGTTGACACTGATCCCACAAAACCCTGAGATGTTTGTCCAACTCTCCATCACTTTTCCATACTGCTTTGATTTTATTGTCGACATCATTGGCACAGCAGACTCCTCGTGTTCCATGATCTTGTCCTTGTTCTTCAGAATCATGCCAATGGTTGACGATTTATGTTATAAGAGTGAGCAACATCTACTGTCTTACCGCCTGACTTGACTCTCAATTATTTTCACTCCTATTTCCATTGTTACTGCTTGGTTCTTCTTAGCAGACTAGCTACATCAGTGTTGCTTTTACACTTGCTTCTGGGCATCCTGGGCTTGAAATAAAGATACTGTACTACTGTCCTCTATACAGACTATACAGTAAAGTGCACAAAAGCAAACCACTTGTAGAGGATACACACATGTGACAATGTACACCAGACACATGAACTCACATGTTTGGACATGTGAATGAAAGTTCACTATGTGGCTGGGCTCAGTGGCTCAGCCTGTAATCCCAGCACTTTGGGAGGCCGAGGCGAGTAGATTGCCTGAGCCCGTGGGTTCAACGCCAGCCCAGGCAACTTGGTAAGACCTTGTCTTTACAATACATCAAAAATTAGCAGCCGGGCTCGGTGGCTCAGCCTGTAATCCCGTGCCTTTGGGAGGCTGAGGTGAGTGGATTGCCTGAGCCCGTGGGTTCGAGTCCCGCCTGGGCAGCGAGACCTCATCTCTACAATAAATCAAAAAATCAGCTGGGCTTGGTAGCGTATGCCTGTAATTCTGGCTACTTGGAAGGCTGAGGCGGAAGGATCGCCAGAGCCCAGCAGGTTGAGGCTGCGGTGGCCGAAAGCGGCCACTGCACTCCAGTCTGGGTGACCGAGTGAGACTCCAACTCAAAAAAAAAAAAAAAAAAATTAGCCAGGCGTGGTAGCACACCTGTAGTTCCAGCTACTTGGAAAGCTGAAGCAGAAGGATCACCGGAACCTAGCAGGTTGATGCTGGGGTGGCTGCGAGTGTGCCACAACACTCCAATCTGGGCAACAGAGTGAGACTCCAACTCAAAAAAAGAAAGTGCACAATGTGAAGGTCCGTAAATAGGGGACTACTGTAATAGAATAAGGCACATTTCTTTCCATTTCAACAGGGATATCTCAAATAGGAGAACCAAGCATGGTGTAGATATTTTGTCTTATATTTGCAGATCTAAGCAGTTATTCTCTGTATTTGAAGTGCTATAAGCTAGAATAGCATCCATCTGACCATTAGGGCAGCGGTCAGTGATGATGTGCAACCGTACTAAAGTCTCTCTTTAAAGAGAGACTAGTAAAGGAAGCCCTGCGACCCTTGTTTGCACAGCCTAGAAACTGTCACTGAGACCTTACCCTGAAGCGTAACATGGTGCAGTGATGCACTGGTGGACAGAAGCGTGCAGAACGGAATCGGGATGTCCTCTGGGAGGTTGACAGAGCCTGCTACAAATGAAACATCATTCTGCGGTGAGACAGAACTGAAGACTTACACTGCTGAGGCACACTTCCTAGGAGGTGTGGGGCGTGCCACAGTGTTGCATCTGGCTTTGCCAGTTCCATTCAGACCATTGACAAGTCCTTTAGAATACTGAGTGGCAAGACAAGGTCAGTAGCTGCAGACACTTGGAGTGCAGCCTGTGTGTGAGCTGTGAAACAGTCCATCTACCGCACGAGTGTCCTAGGCTGGAAGAGTATGAGGATGGACTACAGTGGGACCCCAAGCAACCGTCACAACAAGCTGGGAATGGGAAGCACAAGCCCCCAAGGCAGGAGGCACGTCTCAAGTCACTGCCGCTCACCCCTAAGCAGTGGGTGCTGACCGGCAAGCCCAGCTGATGACGAGCAGCCTGGCGGGCCGCTGCATGGGATGGCTCACTGCTTGTGAGCAGAGGCTTCTGGCTGAGTCTAGAAAGCAGGACCACAAACGATGACAGGCTGTTTCAGTAGCAGCATAGCCACTAACCAGAGGCCAAACTTAACATGTGTGCCGTGTGGAAGAGATTGTTGTTCTTATTGGTCTTTGGCCATATCCATGAATCTGATTCAGGAAAGACATTTGTAAGCACACAGAAGTAAAGTTGTACCGTTTCATTAAAACAAAAAAAAGTCAAGTCAAAAAACAGTGAATGCGTTGAAACACTAGAAATAGAGCAATTTAACATTTTAAATTTTTTATTCTTTACCAGACTTAGTGCATTTTTATTTTATTGACAGAGTGCTTAAAAGACTGCTTAATGTTCTAGAACAATAATGAATGTAACACTGTTTTAAATTTGAGAATGCCTTGTGTCCATTTCACTGTTCACTCTTTTCTAGTTCCTTTCCTATGGATTTCTTTCACAAGACTGTGTATTTATCTTTGTCTCCTCCGAGGGCCTGCACAGTAGAGGCTATATACCGCCTAACAGATGTTTAGTGAATAATTGTTTAACTGGACTGAACTCCAAGGATTAAGATGTCAGTGTATGGTAACCGAATAGACACATTTTCACCAGCCTTTCTTATCTTGGACAATTTCATGGTGTCTAATTCTAACAATCTGAATGTGCTGTATAAGACTTGCGATATGTTAATACTTTTTAACCTGTTTTGCTCCAAGTTTGCAACTTTCATGGCTTTTCTTCCATTGTACTATTAATATCTTTGAGATATGTATTAATAGATGTGTCGCCTTTCCTGATACCAGAAATGAAACCCCCCGAAAGTGAGGTGAATTAAAAGGGATAATAATAGATATGGCACATGGATAAACAGGAATACACATATGGAATCTGCAGGGCTGCAGATACAGGTGCAGAGAGAAAGAGAGAGAGAGAGAGAGAGAGAGAGAAAGAGAAAGAAAGAGAGAAAAGAGGTAGGAAAATGGAGGTCAAGGCAGTTCAAGAGAGAAGAACCAAGATTGTACTTCAGCGATAGGGTCCCTCACACAAGGACCAAAGACAGATACACTGTGCTGAACTTCACCTTGAGGGAGACATGTTTTGCAGTACATGAAACAAAAGGTGCCTCTTGGTGTAAGTTACATTTATGTGTCTGTCAACATTCTTAATCACATTGAGAGGCCTATATAATTTGAGTGATCCTGTGATTTTTAGACAGCCTCAAAGCATCAATATTTTTACAAATAAATTCCTTTGTTTCGCCGGGCTCAGTGGCTCAGCCTGTAATCCCGCACCTTTGGGAGGCTGAGGTGAGTGGATCGCCAGAGCCCGCGGGTTCGAGACCCACCTGGGCAACTTGGCGAGACCTCATCTCTACAATAAATCAAAAATTAGCCGGGTGTGGTATCGCGCGCCTGTAGTTCCAGCTACTTGGAAGGCTGAGGCGGAAGGATTGCCGGAGTCCAGCAGGTTGAGGCTGCGGTGGCCGGGAGCAGCCACTGCACTCCAGTCTGGGCGACAGAGTGAGAATCCAGCTCAAAAAAAAATTACTTTGTTTCCAAGAAGATTTCATCGTTAAGCTCTACCATTTGTAATTTGATGAGTGAAATGTTGTTTTCCAATACAGAAGCAGAGAAAATCATCTTGACTGTAAAAAAATAATTTAGTAAATTGCACAAATAGACACATTTTGAATTTCTGTCTTTCCAGCTTTTAATGCTTCTTTTTTTTTAAAGTTACTTATTCTTGGTTTAGGACAGTAATGAAAAGTTATCAATTTTTCATTATACTATTAAGATATTAGATGGGGATAGTGTTGCCCTATATTGGTGATTAATAGTTACTTTGATAAAACAATTACTGCCACATGTATGTATTTAATAATTGTATCAGCCAGTATATTTAAGAGAAAAGAAGTTTTAAATGAAAAAATGAGATTTTAGGCTCTCGATTTAATAGCTTCATTGACTGAGATAGTATTGTGATATACTTTGCCCTTGGCTAATTTTTACTTTGTCTTTTCTCTTCAGAGCTCCACCTCAGATCAGGCGTCCCAATCGAGAAGTGAGACCTCTGAGGAGAGAGATGGTGGGAGGAGGATCCCGGGGTCCGGTAGGCCGGGCACATCCCATATCGAAGGGTGAAAAGCCCTCAGCAAGTCGGGACAAGGAGTGCAGAGCAAGAGGCAGAGACGACAAGGCAAGGACTGTCTTCTGGTCATTCGCTTACCTGGGGCCGTGACTTCTGGAGGGTGTTAGGATTTTGGTTGGTGAAAGGGTCAATTGAGACAAGGTGGGCCGGGGCTGGGACCGCAGGAATAATGCAAGATTGTGACCAAGTAAGAAAGGAGAAAGAAGTACAGTTTATTATTTACCTTTCACAGATTGGGAAGGGGGCCAGCACTCAGTGTCAAGTGTCGCCCCGAAGGGCCACGAAATGGGTATATTTAAGGGCTTTTGGGTAGGGGGATTTTGGCCCAAAGGAGTGTCCAGGGCTGCGGGTCTTTGATGTTGGAGTCACCATGAGTCTTAGATCTTGAGGCTGCCAGACATTGTCATCTCCTGTCTTCAGGTGGTGAGCTAGATGGGAAGAGACAGGGGAGGGCGTTTTCCTGCTTACTCTGCTCGAGGTTGAGAGTTCTTTGTGGCATTAGCCTGCTCTCTTCTGCCAGCTAATAAAGGACTCAAATTCAACTCTCTGTGTGTTGGTGACTCCTTTCCCGCAGTCTGGCTATAACAGCGGCCCCAGCGAGATTCACCGACCTTGGGAGGCGGCCTCGCTCCAGCTCTCCCTGGCTTGGTGGAGAAGTTATAGGAGAGGGGCCCCCTGAGACGTTCCAGGGCCCCGTAACCTCTCATCTGGCTCAGAGGGAGTTGGAACGACTGCTGGCTTCCCGTTGCCTGCGTGTTGGTGATTCCTTTCTTGCAGTCCGGATGGCTATAACATTGTCATACATGAGTTGCCACAGAGAAGTGGTATTTTACTAGTAGAGAATCCAGTATTTGCCACCACATTCATCCTATGGTATGTATAATGAAGATATAACCGGCGACAGGTGGTTGTCCTTCAAAATTGTATACTGTATTTGAATATTTTGATCACGTGTCATTTTGATCAGTAGATAAGGACTCAAAATAGACCAACTTCCTAGGCCTTATGACTTTTTAGACCATGATAGAATAAAACTGGTGTTTTCTGAGTGTTTCTGTAAAACAGATTCAAAGACGTATTACTACCTCTTTGCCTCAATAGGACACTGAAAATAATTGAACTTTTTTTGATGCTTGTAATTTATTGGAGCTTTCATACCATAAGACAGTAAGTGATTCCATCTCAGATCCTTTCTGGGATTAGTGAAGTGCCCTAATAAGTAAATAAGTTTTTCCTGTTGATGAAATGGAACTGGTTCTCCCTTATTACCAAGAACCACATCAATGAATACTTGAAAATTTGTATCTTCAATACCGTCTTTGTTTGTTCTGGTCTTCATTTTTATGCAGCTGACTTTGGTTTGTGTTTTAGAGAATAAAGTAAGGGCTAAAATCCACCATCACTCTGCTAATAGCTTTCAGGTCAACTTTTCAGAACGGGATGAGGAAGTTTCCGTCTTTAGTTTCACATAAAACAGGGGAAGGACTGTGGTCTTGGTTGACTGGATGCTTCTTTGGTAGGCACCAGTCAGAGGGATTATACAGTAATTCATGAGACAACCACGTGAAGTGTCTTATTATCCCCATTTTACAGATGAAAAGACTGGCACGGAGAGTTAACATAGCCTGCCAAAAGTCCTGCAGTAAGGCACGGAGCCTGGAGGAATGGAACTTGTAAAGTCACACACCTTTTTCCTGTTTATCTTAAGATTTTTCTTATTATATAGTGTCCTTACCTACCCACACCAGATTTGAAATCTGGATTAGATTTGAAAAAAAGAGATCCAGAACAGTTAAATACATGTTGGTTCTTCCTTTTTTTATTTCTTTGAGGAGGCATCTCACTCTGTCACCCAGGCTGGAGTGCAGTGGCACACTCATGACCACTGCAGCCTTGACCTGCTGGGCTCAGGTGATCCTTCTGCCTCAGTCTTCCATGTAGCTGGAACTACAGCCCTGTGCCACCATGCCCGATTAATTTTTTGATTTATTGTAGAGATGAGGTCTCACCAAGGTGCCCAGGCTGGTCCTGAACCCCTCGGGGCTCAGGCAGTCCTCTTGCCTCAGCCTCCCAAAGTGCTGGTATTATAGGCGTGAGCCACCTCGCCCAGCCTAGATATTGAATCTTAAATGTGACTCTTAAGGAACGAAACAATCAAGCAGCATTTGTAGAATGTCAAATACATTTTTCTGGAGTTTGTAAATTGTCTTTCATTTATAATGTTTTAAAGTAATTTTCTAAAATTTGGTTATGCTTTTATTGACATGTAAGTACTCAGAATGTCACTAGAAAGTAAGGCTTTTATTTAAGGAAGAAAGAGAACTCTACGGTTGTTTGGAGGTAAAAGATTTTCTGAGTCACTGGAAACAAAAGGGACTACAATTTGAAAAAACAAACTCCCGTAGACCTCATTAGCATTTGAAAGGTGTATTAGGCTCAGCTAGGATTGTGGGAACCACTCACACATTCGCTAGAATACTAGAGTTCCTGAAATCGCTGGAGGTTGAGATGGGATTTGAGGCAGTTTAGGTGAATGGGGAGAGATCCACCTCCATCAGAAGCTAATTTGAAAGTGAGTATGGGAAGTTATTGTAGTCCTTCAAGTTTTTGTGTTACAGCCAGCTTTTAAAAAAGTTGAAGTAACATAGACTTGAATATTCGGTTTATTGCCCATAGTAAGAACAATATTAGGTTGAGACAAAATTTATATAATTATATGAAAATGTAGTTACATCAGCATATGTGTATTCTGGCTCATGATCTAAAAAGCATTTATTACTTGTAAACAATAGAAACTTATTTCTGGAAGCTGGAAGTTCAAGATCTAGGCACCAGCAGTTGTAGTGCCCTGGTCAGAATTTTGAAACTGCTGCTGTATTCCATCCACTTACTTAACTTTATAGATGCAAAAACAAGTGAGGGTGAGAGAAGTTAGACCTGTTTTGCCTAAGGTGCCTGGTATATTTTTAGATTTTAGGCTTGGTGTTGAGACACATGATGGAACTGCTAATAATAGCAGCAGTAGCAAGTGTTACTCTTCTGTGAGCACACTAACCGCTTTTGGAGTTTTCTACAAAAAAACCCCTTTGAAGCTTTTTACATATATTGGTGTATTCGCTCCTTACACAGTCCTGTGAGCTCAGCATTGTTTTAGCTGTTTGACATATAAAGACTGGGAGGCCCGGAAGTCTTGACTGCAAGTTGATGCTGGAACTAGGATTTGAACCTTGGCTGCCTGTAGCACCTGAGCTTCTAATCATTATGCTACACCGCTGCTTATTTGAAAATGCTTACTATCTTGTTTTAATGGATCATTTACAAGAATACCAGTTTATTTTCTGAGAGTGATTACCATTACCCCACTGACAGGCTTTGGGTTAGGTCCTAGCTTAAAATGCCGAGGGGTTTTTTGGTTTTGAGTCAGGTCTCACTTTGTTACCCAGGCTGGAGTGCAGTGGCACAATCACAGCTCACCGCTGCTTTGAACTTCCAGGCTCAAGCAATCCTCCCACTTCAATCTCCTGAGCTGCTGGGACTACACCACGCGCCACCATGCCCTGCAAAGTTTTTTTATTATTTACAGGGACTAAGTCTTGTTTCCCAGGCTGCTCTTGATCTCCTGGGTTCAACCAGTCTTCCCACCTTGGCCTCCCAAAGTGCTAGGATTACAGGCATAGTGAAACCAGAAAACATATGTTGGAGCTTTACTCATGAGCCACTGCACCTGGCCTGCTTTTAATAAGTAACAACCACTTTGCATAGTGAGCTGTTGTTGAGACTTTACAGTTTCTTCCCCCTGAGGTCCCCTGGGCCGTATTTGTACACTATTTATTTAGCACATCTTTATGAAAGTGTGCACTTTATCTTGATTATACTTCTAGGTACTAGAAATACAAACTTTAATAAATGTAGCTCCTGGCCTCAAGTTAATCTTCTCATTGTTGAGAGGGTTTCAGATGAATATATTTTTCAGACTGTACCCGGTCAGTTTGGGCTTCTATAACAGGGCCTTAGACTGGATAGCTTGTAAACAATAGAAACTTATTTCTGGAAGCTGGGAAGGCCAAGATCAAGGCACCAGCAGTTGTGGTGTCTGGCAGGGCCTGATCCTGCTAGATGGCACCTTCTGTGTGTCCTCATGTGGTGGGAGGGCCAACAACTCCCTTGGGTATCTTTATTAGGGCGCTAGTTCTGCTCAGGAGGGTGGAGCCCTCATCACTCAGTCACCTCCCAAGGGCCCCATCTCCTAATAGTCACACGTTAGGGATTAGATTGCAACATGAAGTTTGGAAAGGCACAAACATTCAGATTGTAGCTCCTGAGAAAATCGGATTTGTTATTTTGATATTTATGTATAGAGTTAGTATAGAAATGTACATAGAAATAACAAATGCTTTTTTAATTAAAAAGGATAGCTAGAAGTAAAATATTATGTAGTAGAAGAAATGTTTTTGTATTATAACCTAAAATAAATTTTGTTTATAAAACTTTGATTCTCAAGTATCATTAAGACTGTCGCCTTATGGTTCATGAACTCTTAGTGAACAGTGCTTCTGTGAGGATCTTACCATTAAAGCTGTAGATGCTTTTATGTGGAATTCAGATTAAAGTAGGGTAAATTCTATTCACTGAGTTCCTTTCAAAGTTATTAAACTGAAATAACTTGGTTTTGCTGAATTATAGTAACAAATGGCCACTTATGAACGCTTTCCTTCTCATGAGTGAGCTGGTCTAGGGGTATCTGATCTGGAGAGATGCTGCAAACTGGATTGGAGGATTCTTTTGAGAGCTGTTGATTGATTATACACATGAACAGTGGCTTCATAAACCCTTTTTATTGAAGAAAAGTTCACAAATTGATGAATGATGGTCCTCTAAACAGTGATGTGCTGGTATAATAACTACTTTTATGAAAAAAGTATATTCACACACAAATTAATTATAAATCTGATATGATGTGTAGCACATAATTTATAAATAATAAAATATTTGTACTCTTTATTGTAAATTTCATAGAGCCAGTGGACTTTACAGAATGCTTTGGTTGA